GGGGGTTAATATGACTGTGACGTCTACCACGTGGCTCCTGAGAGACGTGGGGCAATGTTATCACATGAAAAGATATACTAAAATATTTATGTATTCATTAATTCATAAATATAAGCAGGGGGTTGGACTTGATGGCCTTGTAGGCCCCTTCCAACTTCGTTTTTCTATGACTGAGTTCCAGAAAAACATTTTATCATACGTGTGTTGGGGGCTAATACGACCTATTACTGTCATTTCAGATGTAGGTGAGAAATACATCTTAGACTGTAATTACTTATCATCTGTTGTTCCCTGTCTTGAGAGGCAGATCACAGTGACTTCTATTTTGCAGATTCAAGGAGAACATTTGTATGAGCCAGATATGAAACGTATATGTTTCTCCAATATACTGCAATATATTCTGCTGCCATTATTTTTAAAAACCATATTCTGGTTTGTAGGTCTATATACTAGGTACCATTGACTGAAAACATGAGACTATAAGTCTCACAGCCCCCATCACTGCCTTCCTCCAGTGCTTCTCAGCTAATAGCTACCCATGAGGGATTTAGTTAGCCTCTGTCCTCTCATTAGAGCCTGAAGCCTCTAAAAGTGCATTCTGCTTGCATGGCTGCTTCAGTCAGTACTTTAATCTTTCCTCTGCTTTTTTTTTTTTTTCATTTCAGCCTCATTTATTTAGTTTGACCATACTATGGAACCTTAATGACTAACTAAGAGGACAGAAGAGAAGTGAAGAGGCAATGCTTTGGTTTGGAAAAGCAGGGGATGGTGACGGAGACAGTGTATAATAAGAATTGGATGGTTGCATAACTATTCTGGCCATTCATGCTTCTTCCCAATTCATCTCAATGCCTGTAACTTTTAAAACTACTTAACAAGTACTGAGGAAGAAAGCTGATAGAAGATGAAACAGGGAAGTTCCAATGTTCCAGTGTCCATTTGGCATGCAACCCTTAAATTCAATGCCATCATGACTTACTGGGAACAGGTAATTGCTTACTCAAGTGCAAGGCATGAGCTGGCCACTGGAAAGCCACTTATTCCTCTACTTTCCATTCCATTCATCTCTCTCTCTCTCTCTCTCTCCTAGTCTAGTTCCTTTGTTGATTTTAAGTAGTACAAATCTCCTCCCCTCCCAATTTGGTTGTTGGGGAAGCAGTGCAGTGACCTTGTGGCATTTCCAGACTGAGCATCATGGCCTCTCCACATGCCACCTAGGCCTTCCCTTTGCTAGTAGGAAAACCTCTCCTCTTTCATCCTCCTGGCGCTTGCAGGTGCGCGTTGGCCCATTGCACCCTCCAGATGCATGTTCTTTTCATCTCCTTGCACTAGTAAATGGCCCAGGAAGTAGATGGGATTCAGCGGGCCCAACTGTTGCCAACTCACACATGGGCATAATTATGCTCCATGCATCTGCACAAGTTCTTGTTCTGTATTTTGGGCATTTCTCATATCCCACATTCTGAATGTACCCAGAGCCCTTCTGAACTGTCTGTTTCTCCATTCTTTTTCCTGTCACTTTTGCCTCTTGAAGTTTGTTGCTAGAAGGAACAGGATATTATCTGTTACAGTGCCCTCACTGTCCAAAGGCAGTAAAGTCCAGCAAGATCACATTATTTTGCTCTTTAGGAAGACAGACAAAGCCATTATTATTACTATTCTGTGAAGCTGCATCTTTCAACACTCACAAAAATACAGTTTGAAAACTTCTCTGGAAAAAATTATGACAGGCAAATCTCAGAATTACATGATGATGAGCATATGAAACGTGCTAGTTCACCAGAGCCTAGCCTCCTGTGTTGTGAGGTGAAGTGACTTGCTTCAGGCAACACTGCCAGGAGGATAGCGGAAAGCAAGAAACATTGCCTGAACTGTGGAGCAAAATTATTTGAAGGAGGTCCCAAAAAGTGTGAGCAGAGGAAGAACAGGTCTCAGGCAGGCTCTGCTCTGCCCTCTTCCAAACAGGATTTGAAATGTGTGGGATACTACGAGAGATGGGAAACATCAGGTTTTTGGACAAAAGCTCTATAAATCTCACAGACAGCATAGCATTATAGTCCAAGAGACAAACACTTCCCATCTCAGGATATTAGATCTGCCAGCTTCTCCACTCTATTTTGGAAATGCCAGCTCTTGGACAGATCTCCCTCCCTACCGCGTTGAACAAAAGAAAAATAATTTCCTTTCCTTTATTTGTTTTCCGGACAATACAACAGCCAAAATCCTGTTGCTTATCATAAACTGCTCTAGAGTAGGCCACTGAATCATTGGGAATTGGTGAGTAAACATCTCCATATGTTCCTGTGATTCAACTAGGATTACTCTAACTTTAGGATAGTAACTCACAGTTAGAGTAGGCCCATTTGAATTAATGGAATCTATGGAACATCTAAAGGACGTGGTGGTGCTGCGGGTTAAACCGAAGAAGCCTCTGTGCTGCAAGGTCAGAAGACCAGCAGTCGTAAGATCAAATCCACGCAACGGAGTGAGCTCCCATTGATTTTCCCAGCTCCTGCCAACTTAGCAGTTTGAAAGCATGTAAAAATGCAATAAATAGGTACCACCACAGTGGGAAGGTAACAGCGTTCCATGTCTAGTCGCGCTGGCCACGTGACCACGGAAACTGTCTTCGGACAAACGCTGGCTCCATGGCTTGGAAACAGGGATGAGCACCACGCCCTACAGTTGGACACAACTGGACTAAATGTCAAGGGAAACCTTTACCTTTTTACCTATGGAACAGTTGATCCCATTAATTCAATAGGCCTTCTCTCATGTGATATATTACACTAAGCAACAGGACCGACTTGCAGCCAAACCCATATTTACTTGGAAGTAGTCTGCACAGATTTTAGTGAAATTACTTTCAATTATTTATGGCTCTTGTATTATGTGTTAGTATGATCTGAACATGACCAGTTTAAATGACCATATTAAAATACACACATTGGCCTTACTCATGAACTTAGTAGTGTATGATAAATTTGCTGCCTAGAGTGGTCTTATAGACCAGATGGGCGGGGTACAAACCAAATAAATAAATAAATAAATAAATAAATAAATAAATAAATAAATAAACCA